ATAAAATGGGAACCGATCAGTTCCAAAAATTTTTTAGGAACTGAGTATTTCGGTTTTCGGTTCGGTTCTGGTTCTAACCAAACTAGCCGAATTTTTTCAAGCAGAGTTTAATACAACCAAAAAAGTATAGATTTTAAAGCAAATTTAAGCAACACTAAATCTATTTTAGATAATAATTGGTAAGAGAACAATAGTAATATAGTAACACAAATATATAACAATTCAATACGAGACATCACAAATAAATTAAACATAGTATTATAAAATACAAGTAAGTGAATTACAATTTATGTATTTTGGTTCTTTCAGTTAATTCGGTTCTCTAATAGTAGGAACCGAAATTTGCTCGGATCTTTCGGTTCTTCGCAATCTGGAACCGAATATTTCGGTTTCAGTTTCGATTATTTCGTTTCGATTTTTGGTTCTCGGTTAAAAATGTCCAGGCTTAGGTGTATGCACACGTACTTGAGATGCAAATTTAAAAGATTTTTTTTTCTCAGACTTGGTCTCACACGCACGTTGCTATTGATCCCGTCGGTGTGTCATGATCTACGAGCCTATGACTAATAATAATAATGTGACGAGGACGTACAACTTGAGTCTTTCAAGTCGCGCAAGATATTTTGCCCTTCATGTCATCATGTGTGTTTGTTAACTTCAAAAGTGGAACCAGCAATAACTAGAAGAGATGGTGATTGGGTGACCATCGTCAAGGTTCATGGCACTTTTGCACAAAGGCTCTTGAACTTTCTATAAATTAGAGTATATTCCTCAATGATTAATTAGAGTATATTGACTTCGGCATAACAAAAAAAAAAACTGTTGTCATTGTTACTTTGAAGAGAGAAATAAATAAAAAAACTTTTGTCATAGTTACTTTGAAGAGAGAAATAAATAAGCCTTTGGCTGACGCCACAGTCAAATTATATAGGTTCAGCAAATATGTAGCGTTGAGTGCAATAGGAAAATAATGATGTAGACTTTGCAGAGAAAATAATGTATGCGTATGAACTTTTCTCCCGTTGCAACGTATGAGTAGTTTTGCTAGTTAATCTAAAAAAATGACAAATCGAAAAGATAGTGCAAGAAGTCTCTGAGCTGCACGAACAAGGAACAAATTGCCCAAAACTGATAGCTCATCTGAATTGGTTTCGATGCCCCCGAACAGGTCCTAGTCTTTAGTCTTTACCCCTGAGACTAAAATCCTAGCATAATAAGGACAATACAGTCACTCATGTGTGCATTCAGTGGTCAGAAGTGTGCTCCACATAATTAGCAAGGTATGTGTTTTCACATATTAGTAAGATGACCCACACAAATTACACGATTAGTATATCGTTTGGATTTTTTTATCTTAGGTTGCACTGTGACATGAAGAATAATTTAAAATAATCCTCTATATATGTCATTACGAAAGATAAAGCAAGTAACTCCTATATTTTTTAAAAATAGTTACCCACATATGTTATTATGAGATATAGGATACTCATAACGATCCAAGTTTTTTTGGTCTTCTATTTACATTCTAGCTTTCTCTTTTTAGGGCTCCTTTGGATCACAGGATTTTCAAAGGAATTTTGGAGGAATACTGTTCACAAAGGAAAGTTTCCTATCTTATGGTTTGGCTGGCAAGAAGCACCACTACTATTCCATAGGATTTCATTCCTTTGTGTTGATTTCATAGGATTTGTAACATCCACCTAGAGCTCTTGGAAAAATTCCTACGCACGAAGTACAAGAAGTTGAATGATTGTTCTACCCAATTTTATTCAACCTTGACATTCCTGCAAAACAAATCCTTTGATTTTCCTATGGTGTTATCAAAGAGCTTCTTATCTATTTTTCTGTGCTTTTGAATCCTATATTCTTAGAGAAACAAAACGTATCAATTTATACGTTTTTCCTATCGTGTTCCAAAGTGGGCCTTAGTTTTGCTCTAGCTTGGTGTGAGTCATTCATGGCACCTTCCATCATCAGGCCGGTGCAAGCCGCGGTACAAGTCAACTGAATATATTATGACAATTGAGATAGGAGCACGACACAGTCTATGCGCGTCAATAGAGACACGTCAATTTGAGATACAGATGAATACAAATAAGTAGTACATCTATGGAAACGTCTATGCCAGTGCTGTTTTAGTTTTTTTTCCTGAGAAAAGAAAGTCAACATCCACGCTGTGTTAAACTTTTCTTTTGGATTTTGAATTTTCTCTCCGTTCAAAAAATATATAATTCTCTTTTTTTTAACGAATCAAACAATTTTAAATTAAATAAATCTATACAAAGAACACTAACATGTATAATACCAATAAATATTATTAGTATTGTTTATAAGTACTCCTATATCTATAACTCTTATAAAGCTAAACCCCACTATACCTGAGCATTTTGTGGGCCAGGCCGAAAAAAAGCCCGGTTATTTTGGGCCGAAAAATCCCGCCCATGACGGTTCCACTAGGCAGGTCGAGCCTAATTTTTCGGGCCGGGCTTGGGCCGGGCCCGGGTCTAGGCGGGCTGCCCGCGCAATTTACATTGTAAAATAGCAAGAAACATTGTTTCGGGCCAGGTTCGAGCAAAGAAATTTTTTTCTGGGCAGCGAGATCTGTGTCAAAGCCCTGTCCAGTAAGGTTCGTGGGCGGCCTAAAACTCGTCGGGCTCGGGCCGAGCCAGGCCGGGCTCAATTTGCTCAGGTATAAACCCCACTAGATGATTTCTCTTCATGCAAGATGTCCACATCATTCCCCACTAAGTGACATCACTAGATGTTCTATCTCTTCATGCAAGGTATCTACATCATTCTCTACAATTCCATGCCATCCCTTATTAATTACAAAAAATATCCATGTCATCTCTATCATGTGAAATACTTTAAATCTTTAATTTATTAACATACAAGTCATCTACATACGCTATTTGTTTCATCATCCATTCCTCTATAATGTAATCAAATATTTTATTGGATTTTCTATTTTTAGCTTGCTAATTTTTTTTACGATACAATAAAATTACATGTAAGTCAAATTTATATATATGTATACACATTATACAGAATACCTATAATAATACTGAATATATAATAGATTTATTTTTAAGAAAATTTTATGGCAATGCGTGGGGTATACTTAGGTATATTACTACGTGAAAACATAATATGGCCACGCCACTGTCACTGTCACTGTAATTGTCTATCCGTGATTCCTTTCCTCATCGGCGATGAAGCATCCATGGAAGATGGACCCACGGCCTCCCTCTCCCTGTGCGAGCGCGGTGCGGCCAGTCCGGACCCAACCTTGGCGTCCCTCCCTCTTCCCTCTTCGACCTCCTCGCTGTCGGGACGATTTGCCGGATCCGCAGACGCGCAGGGAGGCCCTTGCCGCCGGCCGGCCGCCGCCAACCCAGGCCAATTGCTGCTCCATCATCCAGCCGCAGCGCTGACTTCTCCGCCGCGCGAACTCGAGGTAAGGCCCGCGGCCCGCCCAGCTCCTGCATTTCTAGCTACGCTGATCACTCTCTCTCTCTCTCTCTCTCTCTCTCTCTCTCTCTTCCAATGCAAATCTGGCCACGAATTCCTATTGCAATTGCAATGAACTTCTATATAGCCTCGGCCTCCTTAAAGACATGGGGTAAGATCTTTTACATCAAATTTTTGCATACCTTTTTTTAAGCCACGAGGAATGAAGAAATTCGCTGGCGTGCTGCCGGCTCAGTCCTTCAGACTTGCTTGTAGGATTAGGTTTGTGTATGTGTGTTCATAGGGGGTGAATGTACGTACGTGTTGCGGGCGTGTACCGTGTAATTCTTAAAAAAAATAAAAGAGCTTTTTTTCATACCTTAATCCTCATTGTCATAGGAAGTTTTGATTATACTTTACTTGATTAGTTGGAGATGCTTTGATTCTGTATTGTTAGACCACATTTTTTAGAAGTGAAATAGGAGTATTATGCTTAACTAATGTATTTAAAATCCACTCAAAAGAGTTATGATCTATATCTGACCCAAGGCATGGTGCATAACATATAAGGTATTTCTAAATTGAAATTGGTAATATGTCAAAAAACTATTCCAAGATGACAAATTTCAGAAAAAGAAAAGGTAATATAAACACTACCCCAAATATTTTCCCCCTTCACCTTCCTGCTGGTTTTTTTTACCTTTGTTAGACACTTTTCAGTTTTCAGATAATATGTTTTCCCCGTTTGGCATTTCCATTTAGATGCTGCCCACATTTCCAGTGGCACATGCATATACCTGAGTTTAACAAAAATTCTCAACCCCTGTTAATGGGACCTGTGCCATCACGCAAGCAGGTTTACCTTTTTTTTCCGAGAGAATTCCTTATTTGACACTGGGAAAATGAGTCGTTCATTTCTTGGCTCTGAAATTTTCTTCGTTCCCTATTTGACACTCACTTCAACTTTCATCCCTAATTTGACACTACCGTCAAATCAGTTAGCTAACGGTGTTAACTGGCGGTTAAAAAGACATTTTTGCCCCTAGAAAAAAAGCGGCGAAGCAAATTTGAGAGGGAAAAAAACTGCGCCCGCCTCTGATGCATGCGCCCAGCTGCAAAAAAAGGCGCATGTTTTTTTTCCCTCTCAAATTTGCTTCGTCGCTTTTTTTTCTAGGGGCAAAAACATCTTTTTAACAGCCAGTTAACACCGTTAGCTCACGGATTTGACGGTAGTGTCAAATTAGGGATGAAAGTTGAAGTGAGTGTCAAATAGGGAACGAAGAAAATTTCAGGGCCAAGAAAGGAACGACTCATTTTCCCAGTGTCGAATAAGAAATTCTCTCTTTTTTTCAGTTATGCAAGGAGGAAAACCTTTGCCCTCCACATACTAGTATTTGATAACGATAGCAAATGTTGATGAAGGTTGTATGCACATGAGTAAAGTAAAAAAAGGTTTCCCATGTAGAAGTATCTGTTCTGCATTCATATTGAAATAATAAACAACTACTAATTTACATTGCATTGCATCCAATTCCAGGCAGGGGGGAGAAATGGCTGGAGCTGTGTACTTTTGGCAACAATGGGACATCCAAATTCTTGTGGTCCTGAGCTTCACCCTGCAAGTCATCCTCCTCTTGTCTGCAGGGATCCGCCGGCGTGAAGGATCAGCTTTGTTGAGAACCCTCCTCTGGCTGGCATACATAATGGCTGACTATACCGCAATCTACACCCTTGGCCACATGTCCATCAGCAGCAGGTCAAGCGACCACCAGATCATGGCATTCTGGGCTCCCTTCCTCCTGCTTCACCTAGGTGGCCCAGACACCATCACGGCTTACGCCTTCCAGGACAACCAGCTCTGGCTGCGCCACCTGCTCACTCTTGTGGTGCAGGTCACCGGGGCAGCTTATGTTCTCATCCAGTTCATCGTAGTCGGGAGGAATTCTAGCACCCTGCTGGCAGCTGCTGCCTTGATGTTCTTCTCTGGTTGCCTCAAGTACGGGGAGAGGACATGGGCACTCAAGTGTGGCGGCTTAGATAACATTGCAAACTCCCAATACAAATACGAATACAACATGATGTCCTCGGGCGCCGCTTTCCGTGATGATGGTCGTCGCAGGCGCAGCCCATATCATGGGAGGGAGGGAGGAAAGAGGCTGGACACGGAGGAGGTCCTGCTGGGAGCCCACTACTTGCGTCATTTCTGCAGGGGCCTATTGGCTGACCGGCCGGTGATGGAGCAGATTGAATATGAAGTTGTGCGCCAAGGCATCCAACTGAATGGTGACATGTACCTGTATGAGCTTGTTGAGATGCAGCTCTCCCTCATGTATGACATGCTCTACACGAAGGCAGCAGTGATCCATACCTGGTACGGTTTCTGCATCCGGATCATCTCACCACTCTCTGCTGTCGCAGCATTCTTTCTGTTTCAGTTCAGCAGCAAGCATGCCTCCAGCTCCAGCAGAGTTGATATTATTGTCACCTATGTTTTGCTGGCTGGAGCCCTGGTGTTGGAGATGGCATCATCTCTCAGGGCTGCAGGGTCGTCCTGGGCGTGCGCCTCCTTTCATGCCAGGGGATGGCACCGTCTCTGCAGCGCGGTCCTGCGCATTCGTCGGCTTCTCAAGGCAGGATCAAGGAGAGCTTGCCTGGATTCACTTGGGCAGTACAACCTGCTGGATATCTGCACTGATGCCAAGGACGACCTCAGAGGTAAGATCGCCAAGATTATTGGTCTCGAGGACTGGTGGCGGAAGCTACATTACTCAAGCACTGTCCCCATCTCCGACGGCCTCAAGACCTTGGTGTTGGGAGAGATACGAAGGAGGGGCATACAGGACAGGAGGAATGCACGGGGCAAGTGGATACTCAAGGAGAGAGGGATGTACGAGGATCTTAGGCGGGTCGCCGACGACACCGAGGTAGACCGTAGCATCATCGTTTGGCACGTCGCCACCGATCTTTACCTCTCCATGTGCCCCGAGGAGGAGGACACCGGCACCGCCAACGGCACGATCCGGGACCAGATCAGGGTGCTCTCCAACTACATGTTGTTCCTCCTAGTCCTGCATCCCTACCTGTTGCCCGGAGTGGTTCGCAGCGGCCGGTACAAGGAGAACTACAAGTATTTCAATATGCTGTGGTGGCGTATCATGGGGTCCACCAAGAAGGACACCATGGACTCCTCTAGTTCGACGATCATCAAGAAAATTGGCGAGTGGCAGCTCCCGGCCGATTCAATGTATAAGTATGTTTCCGGTGTCGGTGTCGAGCGTCATGACGACATGGCAGCCTATGTTGATGGATCTTGGCTCGCCGGGATGTTGCTCGGCAACAGGTGGTCCTTGCCCATCGCCGACATGCTGCAGGTGATCGCCGGGGTGTGGGTGGAGATGCTGTGCTACGCTGGCTACCACTGCGGAGAGGAGTCCCATGCCAGGAAGCTCAGCACCGGGGCAGAGTTCATCAATGCCGTCTGGCTTCTCTTGGAGCACGCTGAGAAGCATGACAGGTCCGAAATATCTGCTGAGTCTTTGGCAGCACTGAGGGAGCTCGTAGTTCACCAAGACCAGGGACAAAAATAATGCGGTCCAAACCATCCATGCTAGATCATAAAATGAACAGTTATGCGAGTAGCTGTTGAAGAAGTAGAAAGGAACAGTAAGTGTGATAGGAATGTTAATCTTGTATTAATGAACAGTGGTAGGTGTATATATATACACACAAGCCCTCAAAGGGGCGGTTCCCAGGTTCGTGGGAGAGCATACGTGTGCGAACTGTCATTTGCCGTTTGCTAATGATGGGATTATCCCTTAATTGATTGTAAGGATATTCTGTAATATATAGAGTTTCTACATGTAAGGTATTTTTAAATTTTCCTATACGTCTTTTTTTTCGAATACGCAAAAGATTTGCGCATCTTTATATTAAGGTAAAAAAGTTTGATATACACAACGCGTTTATGGCGAGCACCCTTGGAGGATTACAACCATGGCCTGGACTATCATAGCAAATAGGTACATATTTCGATATTACACAAATGGTAGACAACCGGGATAAGGCAGCGACACAGCCAAGGAAGGTGGCTTGCACTTCTGCTGTGGTCGGCGCGACTCCTTCCCGCCACCCTGGAAGAGCGCTTCCAGCACTTCGACGTTGGAAGCGCTGGGCCCTGCCTCGTAGGTTGTAACGCCCCTGGTGTTACGAGCTTGTTTAGCACCGCGATTTAGGTCTAAGAAAAATTTTCGAAGTGAGTTTTCTTGGATTTTGGATTTAAAACATACTTAAGACAATAAGCGAATCTTGTGCGACTTAGTTTCGTGGACTCTAATCAACGCCCAAGTTAAATTACTCTGTGCGTAAAGATAGTTGAGAATGTCGAACGACGATGCTAGCGAATAGTTTATTTGGTTAGATTAAGGGGGAAAAGCAATTTTTATAAATAAAATAAAATCCATTAATAAATAGAACGATAGACATATATATGTATATACTCATGGGTTTATTTTGTTAACCACGAACTAACGAGAAAGAGAGCGCAACAGTTTCGTTTATTTTTTTTCGGCGTACAGCGTACTCGCCTGGCACTGCTATTGATCGTTGTCTCATTCTCGTCGTGGCTCTGCATTTGCAAAGTCTACTCATTCGTCTGCATCCATGCTCGCCGGCCTTTGCGTTTACTTCTTTGCCTGCCTTGCTGGTCTCTGCTGCCGCGATCTTATTCATGTCTGCCTCTGCTTGTCCTTGTCGCCTCTACTACGCCAAGCCGTCTAGCTCCGCTGCTCACCTGTTTCGCTCAAACCAAGTTTGTCTGTTCTTGCCCGTGAAGCCGAGCATCGTGGCTGCATCGCTAAGTCCTTTCTAACTCGTCGACCGGACCACGTGCTCGGACGAGTTTCGCTCATGTCTCCTCGCCCTTTTTCTCTGCGTCATCTTCTCACCTTCCTGTGCGCGCGCTGGCACGCCACTACCGGCCACGGGGTGCCGTCCTTCCCTGTCCCCCACGTCGCGTCTATGAAGGTGGTGCCCTCTCGCTCGCACGCAAGAGCACCGAGTCCCAGTTCTTGTTTTCTTCCCCTTTTCCGCTGCTGCTCCTCGCGTTGCTTGTGCGCGTCTTTCACGCCGCTGGCGCGCGTCTCTTTGCCAGCAAGCCCGGCTGCCTTTGCCTCCACTGCGCTGCCGTCTCCCGTCTCCTCACGTGCTGCGCGCTGAACCCATGGTCTCTCGCTGGACCCCCGCCGCTCGCTCCCACGGCTGCCACGCCACGTGCCGCACCACCGCGCATGGCCATCCCGCCCGTTGTCGCCCACCCACCGGGCACCCTCGGTCCCGCCGATGCTGCGCGGTGCGCGCCTCCTCATCCGCCGCCACAGCCCACCGCGCCCGCTGACGCGCGTGGCCGCCGTGTGTGCCCCGGCCGCGCCTTTTCCTCCTAACGTGTGCGTGCCGCCGCTGCGTGGCGGGTTACGCTGAGCGCCAGATCGCACGCGGGCCCCCTCGACGCCAGACTTGCTTCACGCGCCGCGTCGCTATCGTGATGCGCCACCGCGCCCGCAGTCTGGCACCGCCCCTACCTTCTCCATGCTTGGACACCTTGCGCGAGCGCGCGAGCCCCACTGCCGCGTCGTTCGAGCTGCTCCATGGCGCCGCCCCCGTCTCTGCTTGCCTCGGCGCCATTTGCCCCTATATAGCGGCGCGGGCGTTGCTGGGACCACCTCGCGAGAGCTTCTGCCTGGGCCGCGCCCACCGTTGCTCTGCCTCCACCGTATGCGCGCTCTGCTCATCCGAGCCGGCCGCTTGCCGCACGGAGCCGCCCTGCCGGCGCCACAACGCCACCGCCCTGCCGGCGCCACAACGCCACCGCCTCTTCCGTGCGCGTGCCCCTCAACACCAAGCGAAAGCACGCCATGGCCGCCCGGTGCGAGTTGTTGCCTCGCCATTGCCCCACAACACCGTTGCCGCGCCGCCGCCGGCGGTGCCCTCTCCCGACGGTGCTCTGTTTTGAGAATGAAGGCAAGGTGAGGTGGGTGAGAATCAAGAAGAAATATTGTACAGGGTTGTTTTTACGAAATACGTGACTCACGTGAATAGTGTATTCAGGACCGCGAATCGGTTTAGTGAAACTGTGGGGTCTTTTCTGCATAAGTCACGCGCAGCTCTGGGCCTTGGTCGCATGGGCCGTGGTCGGCCTTGCGCTGCTGGGCCGCGCGCGCCGTGCTGCTGGGCCGGTCGCCTGCCATCGCGCCGGGCCGCCTTGCTAGGCCGGTCGGCTGCCGTCCGCGTGGGCCGCCGCCTACGCCGCGCGCTGGGCCGGCCTACCACTGATCGTCCCGCCTGGGCCGGCCTGCTCCCTAGCTGGGCCGCGCCTAGTCGCTGGGCCATGCCTGGTCGCTGGGCCGCGCCGCACTACTGGGCCACTGCCGCGCGTGCCTGTGGGCCGTTCTCTGAACGCCCGCCTGGGCCGCTCGCCCCAGGCTGGGTCGGCCTGTTGCTTGTGGTGCTTGGCTGATCCGGTGGTTGCTGGTCCATTTAGCTTCGAAGGAGTTATTAATTTAGTGCATAAATAAACTTGTAAAATTCGTAGTAAATCATAGAAAAATCATAAAAATGCCAAACTAGTTTTGTTAGGCTCCTAAAATCATGATCTACCTGTTGGTATATTTTGTTCACATAGGCTCAGTATGTTTTTAGGGTTGCTCTAATTATTTTAAAATGCTTAATATTGTTAAAAGGAGAACTTGTAGAAATTTTCGTGATAAATCGATAAAAGTGTTAGCTCTAAAAATTTTACAGAAAATTAATAATATTATTAGCTGCTCACTGTAATTTTTATAGCTCCGGAATAATTAGTTTGCTAAATAGATAATGATGTCCTATTGCGAATAAGGACTAAATTGATAGAATGTGATAAAGAAACAACTTGGGTTTGTATAACTAGAATAATTATTGAGAAGTAACGCCTTATTCGACAACATGGATACGTAGACCAGCGTTAGTTTGCGAGACGTGATCGGATTTCTAAGCGTTTTGACTGACGTTGGTTATTTACTTCTTGCATTGCATCGTATTGCATATCATATAGGTACGATGATGGATCAACGGATCAATTAAAGGATGATTGAGGATCCGAAGATGGTGTAATGGTATTCTCTGTAGGAGATGATGCAATGGGTTTTCTATTCAGTTGATGGTGAATGAAACCCACTTGCATATATATCATTATCCTATGAGTCTTACTAGTATGATAGGATCGTGTAGATTGCTATGCTACAGGAATCCGATAGAAGTCGAGTGATTGTCTATCACTCGCGAGAGATAGAAAATATATTAAAGTACTATTATCACTTGGAAAATAATAAATGGTGGAAAGGAAAAATGGTGACCGGGCAGTGATATGGTTTGAGTATTGGTGGGTGTAAGAGGTTGTGTCGCCATGGACGCGGGGCGTAGCTTGGTTACATTGTTTTCCCTGTCTGTGTCGGTTAAGGACCGGTCGTTGCATAAGCCATCGAGGCAAGTCACAGACTTATTATTCCGAGCACATACTTGGGTATGGGCGCTTGAAAGACTTGTTGCTCTCTTGTCGTGGATCCGGCTCTTTCCGGACCGACTGTCAGGGTTTTATTTTGGTGGAGGAGATCCTTGCACCGCACTGAGTCCAGGACTCAGGGGCGGGGGCTTGGAGTCCTAGTTTAGACGGGGACCTGGACACCCAGGATAGGAGAGTGGTGAGTTGGTCCTGCTTGTGCCTTGGGTACAAGCGGGACGTGTGTTTTTAGGGTACCCAGCTGGGGGCATTGATTCGTGAATCGCGGGGCAATCCGGTACGACTTATTTCGTGTCTAGCACCGTAGTAAGAACTGAAAGATGAAAGATAGAAAGAAAAGGAAATATGATTGCTTACCACCTGCTTGAAAGTAGTACAAGTGCTTACATAGAATGGTTAGTTAATGAACCAATGCACTGCTAATAAAAATTAAATATAAGGACGCACATTTAGTAATGCTTCCTGTAGATGCAATAAACCCATAAGCCAGATAGTCTTGTATATCCTTGGAGTATTTTCTTTTCTCCTGTCGGGTAAGTCTTGCTGAGTACATTTGAGTACTCAGGGTTTTATTTCTCCTGTTGCAGGTGACAGGTGGATGCTAGAGCTGACCTTTGTGTGTGGATACCTCTTGGTGGGCTCAGCGAGGATTCCTTTACGCTGCGATCGTAGTTGTTATTTATAAATCTCACCAAATGTTTTTATAAATGAAAGTTTCATAACCTGTTGTCGTAGTTTATATATCAATACTTCATCATGCCATGAATAGATAATTATTTTCGCTGTAATTCTGATCACATATTTATATTCCGCTGTTACATTCAATTGTTCATAACTCTGATAATATAATTACATTCCGCTGTTATAATAAATGTTATACTCTACTGTACCTGTAAAGTGATGTAAGAAATGGTTACGAATGATGTAAGCTTTATTCTCTCATTTGTGATTCTGATGGCAAAAATGTGGATTTTTAGGTTCTCCCCTGGGGTGTGTCCAACGAAACCGAGTAATTTAGTGTTCTCCTCCTGAGTGCTT